TAGATCAATGAGAGTCTTCATTGAGAAATGTCTTTTATATACTCTCTGTGGAGAAGAATTTATTTTCAGTTTCACTTATGAGAGTTGTAAAAGTCATATACATGTTTAATTTGACTAACATTGGATTAAATATGTGTGTTAAAAGAATATTCGGATTTATTTCTGAATTTGATGATTGAACACGAGCCAATCCTGGCAATTATGTCCGTTCAAAGGAATATCTCGCATGGCGGGAAAAAAATTTATGATAGTACCCACATGGCGGGAAAAGTTTGAGAAAATACCCGTATGGCGGGGTAAAGTTGGCATAGTACATATGTTAACCAATCTTGCATGACGGGAGAGTTTGGCATAGTACTTATCCCGCATGGCGGGAGAAGGATTTGATGACTCATGTGCTCTAAGTATATCCCGCGCATGGAGAGAAGTTTGAGGTAGCTTTTATGCTATCCTAGTATTGACCGTACACTCTGATTGTGTCATGGTCATTAAGTACTCAATGAGTTTAAGAACAAAATAAAGTTGCATGTGAATCAAAAGATAAGAATAATATGCAAGCATGACTTGCAGAAGTATTGATAATAATAGACTATGTTGAGTTTTGAAGTGTAATGAGGAAAATGTACTCCCATACGAATTTTGTTTGCATGCTGTAATCATGTGGATGAAGTAAGTAATCAAAGTTTCCTCATTCACAAGAGTTCTGAATGTTTCGAAATTGTGGTAGAAAAGTTCATACCACATTTCGAGGGGGAGAAATGTAAGATTAAGAAAGATACTTCCTCATACTTCAGATAAGCAATGCACGCTATGCATTGAAGGTAAAAGTGATCTATAAAAGATGAATGTGATCGTTGAGGGAGTAAGACGGTCATAATTATGATACCCCTAAAGTAAAGAAATAGCTAAATTCCTGGACCTTTTACAGTTCCGATAGGAAGATAGCATAGTCAGCTAGTATTTATACTGGATGACGCCATATGAGTTTTTAGCAGATTAAACCCAAAATAAGAAATTTGAAGATACACCATCTTTACTGAAGATGGAGTAATCTGGGGGAGCATGGTATGTAGATACCAAAAGCTTGAATAAAAGTGGGATTACATATCCACTACAGTGTTTAGAGTAACAAATTGCTTAATACATGTTGATGTTGTATGACATATACAACACAAGATGTTAGCTCTTAAAGAGGATGAATAAGTAAACAATGATCTTGTGATACAGGAGGTTATAGAACAATTGCCTTTTGGCAATGAAGAGTAACAATAGCCCCATATGAAAGAAGTGCCACGAGGCCCTAGAAGGTCTCAAAGAATAAGAAAATCAGATATTTCTGGTGACTAAGAAGAAATTTCTAATGAAGCCAAAACAGTAGGCTATAATGGGTCTATAAGACAAAGGTGACTCCAAAGAGAATATAGAAAGATACCCAAAGAGAATATGGAAAGCAATAAAGCGCCACTTGTGGTGAAATGATGTACACAAAGAGAAGGAATAGATTAATAATGAGCATGCAAGAATTCTTTTAGAATCATAATGGTATTAGTGGCACATTACGATTTACAGTTACATCAGAAGGATGTAAAGACACATTCATCAATGAGGATTTATATGGAAACATTTACATGGCATAACTCAAAAGGTTTTGTCGTGGAAGAAAAAGAACGTAAATGGATGTTGTCTAAAGAAATCCATTTATGGATTAAAGCAAGCTTCAAGACAGTGGTTCTTGAAGTTTGACAGTACAATAAGAAAGTTTGGGTTTTAAAGAGAATGTAGAGGACAATTGTATTTATGCAAAGTTTAAACATGGGAAATTTATTTTCCTAATCCTGCATGTGGGTAGCACCTTACTCGCTAGTAGTGGTGTTAATCTACTGTTGGAGAAGAAGCAGTTCTTGTCCTCAAGTTTCAATGAGAATGGTCTTGGTAAAGCATCATTCGTTCTAGGAATTGGAACTTACCGAGATAAAAGGAAAAGGGGTATTAGAACTATCTCAAGTGTATACTTAGAGAAGATTCTAAAGAAATAAAGTATATATGTGAATAAACCTGCGCCTGTTCCTATAGTCAAAGGTAATAGTTTTCGAAACTTTCAGTGTTCCAAGAATAAATGTGAGATCGATTAAAAAGGACGTCCTATATGCTTCAGCTGTTGGAAGCTTAATGAATGCTTATAAGCAAGAACTTACCCTGACATAGTTCATGTATCCGGGATATTTTGGCGTAAGTCCGGTCCGAGATATAGATCTTTGGAATGGAGATGAGAATGTTTTGCAATTGTGCAAAGATTTGTAGGCCTCATGGTGAGTAAGAAAGAATAAGTACTATCAAATAGTTGTGGGTACAAATGTTAAATTTTGGCGAGATGTTTAGTGAAACCCACATAGTAGCTAACACTGCATGATTGGAGTTTTATTGTGGAAAAGCTCCAAAGAAAAGCAGTTGTGGTGTCATCAAGGATGCATACCCACAAGATAGCTTGATATGAGGCTTAAAGGACAAAGGCGAAGTGGTTAAAAGAACTTACACCGGAATTGATAATGGTATACAACAAAGCAATAACCATTTAAGTAGTTCGCTCCTATAACAACGGGTCAAGTGTCTTTGCCAAACACATTAACGATAAAGTTTATGCGTTGTGAAGGAGAAAGTCGGAATCATACTAAAAATATTAAACATAAAAAAAGTAACAAGCAAGTGCTTGCGGATCCAGCATACAAAAGGCTTACCACCCAAAGTGTGTTTAGAGAACACACAAGTCAACATGGGTTTATGGTATAGCCTATGATTTCCGGACAATAAAGGGCCCAAAGTTAAAGAATCATTTGAGAAGAGAGATGTGTATTGTAGTGTTAAGTCTATCGGCGATTGACCGTGACGATGAAGCATGCTCTATACACTAATCTGTGATGGAACAAATAAAAGTGAAAGGGATTAAAGTCAAAGTTTAAGGTTAAAGTATGAGTTGAGATCAAGGGGGAGAATGTTAGAATTGATCTCATCCGTCTTGACCCAACGGTCGAGACGGACCCCTTGACCGCGTCCTGATCGGGGACGTCCAGCCATCTCGTGGCTAGTGGGCCCCCGTCGCACAGTGCCTATAAAGAGGAGGTGGGGCAAACGGCACACGGCACGAGATTCACCGCCACCACAGCCCACTGTCCTAACCCTAATCCGATCCAGAGGGTGGCACTGCCAGCGGCGGGAAGCACCGCTGCCTCCACCACCACCGCCGGTCTTCACACCTACACCAAACGTCGCTGCCTAGCGCAGATCTTCATCGACGAATCAGTAAAGGCAGGAAGCTCCTCCGACGGTCAGATGCTCTCTACTCTCTCTCTCTCTCTCTCTCTCCTACCCCGAAGCAAACTCATGATTCAACAGGAAAGAACTAACCCACTGGATCCACACCTAGACGATCCAAAGTACATAACAGGTTTTTCTCTCCTAGAGTCTGGTTTTCCTAACCTAGCACTCGATTTTTGGTTTTTAGTAAGCAACTATTGAGAAAAATATTAGAGAAAGACAAAAATAGAGCTCCTACTATGTTTCTTCAATTTGAATAATTAACGATTAACCATGTGATTGTGTAGAAGCTCTTGGTGGGCAGGTGAGTTAGGGTGGTCATTCTTGGTGACGAGTTTCATGGCGTTGTCTCAATGAATGTAGAATGCAATGAAACATGGATGAAATAATCATTATAAATGTATAGTTTCATTATTTTTGTTTCATAGATATTTAATTCTATGACTCATTTAGAGTTGAAAACCGAGAGTTTCATCTGCATGAAACTCACATTCTTTCTCTCTTCTTAGAAACGTTGTTATATCATCGAAAATGTTTACGTGACAACCTATTAAATACATATAAAACCCTAATGGAACTCCCACTGAAATTGACCAACTCACATATGGCACAAGGAGTATTACCCGATCGGGGCTGCTTATAAATTAAACTTGATTCCAGTTATTGATAGGAAAAGTAAAAAAGTTGATTTGGAAAATAGCAAATGTTTATTTTTTTCGGACAGTCTAACTAAATTGGAGTTTATTCCTCGATCATTAGTAACCGACGCTCGGCTTTAAGAAAATATTTGCTTTTTTTTCTTGATTGACTTGTACTTGTACAGGAGAAGGTGTCGACCCTGGACAGCACAAGAAGGGCGACGGACCCATTGTCCACTTCACCCTCTAGCCGGTGGTAGCCGCTGCTGCATCATTCTCTCCTCATCCATCTATCACTGTCGCCACCTTCTGTCGTTCCATGTACACGTAAGTCTAAAACTACAACTTTCTTCTTCTTCTTTTGAACTAAAACTACATCTTTTTTTCACGGCCATATAATCGGCTTGTTCGTTGGCTGGTTTCTGGGTTGATAAGCTCGGCTGGTGCTGGTTTGTTATGAGAGGAAAACACTGTTGGCTGGCCGATAAGTTCTGGCTGAAACCAAATAGCAAACATGCTGAGTAAGAACAGTTTTACTATATATTTTTTCCAAAGACCCTACAAGTAGCTGAACCTTCATCTAATCATCTTCATCTCACCACCACCAGTAGGCAACAACCTTGAGAGAACTCATATACATTTCTAATAAGCATACAGAGGTTTTCCAACCGTTTGCTTACTTTCTCCCACAAATCATTTTTTTAGAGAAACCAAACAATTTTAATTTCTCTGCAGCTAATTGGTGTTTCACTACAACTATAGTAGACTTGCATTACATATATGTATGTGATATGTCTCTCATTTCTATAGATGTCCAATTCTCTATCTTAAACACCCTCCATGCATTCCTAGTGTTTAGTAGCAGTGTCTTACTAGCTCCTGCTAGCTACTAGGCTCAGAGCTTAATTAACTAGCAGTTGTGCACTAGTATAAAATCGTTGCAACTAGTTGCCCCCTTGCTTTCTTCTCCCTCGTGGGGGCGGTGGTGTTGCTATTAGCTGCTTCTTTCTTCCATCCATATTCCACACCACACTCATACTCAGTTACAAGATGCCCATGGCTCTCGAGTCATGGCTCACCAAGGTCCGCTCAGCCATGTCCTCTGCCAGGTCGTCCTCTGGAGGTTCGGGGGCGCCACCGGCCGGGCCCAGGACGAAGCAGAGCACCGTCGGCATCCTCGCCTTCGAGGTCGCCAGCCTCATGTCCAAGCTCCTCCACCTGTGGCGGGCCGTCGGTGACGCCGCCGTCGCACGCCTCCGCCACGAGACCATCCACCTCCACGGCGTCCGCAAGGTGGTCTCCGACGACGACCACTTCCTGCTCGGCCTCGCCCGTGCCGAGCTCGTGGACACGCTCAGGGCCGCCGCCGACTCCGTGGCCGCGCTCGCCGCGCGCTGCGCGGACCCCAGCCTCCGCGACTTCAGGTACGCCTTCCTGGAGCTGGCCGACACCGGCCGCGACCGCCACCGCTGGGCGGCGCCCAGTTGGAAGGAGATGGACGCGAGGGCGAGCAAGATGGACAAGCAGGTGGCCGCCACCGCCGCGCTCCGGAGGGCCATGGAGGAGCTGGCCGAGGCCGAGCACGGCCTCCGGAAGCTCCTCGTCCTCCAGTGCGCCGCCAGCAGCAACGGCAACGGCAACGGGGGCGGCCATCGGCGCAGCCTGTCGGCGAGCAAGATCTCGGTGGCGGCGGAGCAGCAGCAGCTGGTCTTCTCCAAGAAGCAGGAGGTGAAGCACCTGAAGCAGACGTCCCTCTGGGGCTGCACCTTCGACGCCGCCGTCGCGTCGCTGGCCCGCGCGGCGTTCACCACCCTGGCGCGCATCAAGGCCGTCTTCGGCGCCGGCCAGGAGCAGCTCCACCCGCCGCTGTACCGCAGCTTGACACTCTCCTCGGCGGTGCACCCGTCAGCCGACGCGCGGTCGGAATCAGATACGTCCCCGGCGCCGCCGCCGCCGGTGTCTCGCAAGTCCATGTCAATGGAGGAGCTGCTGCTGTTCGACATCGACCAGCCGTCGTTCGCTTCGAAACCGAAGCGGCAGTGCTGCGGGTTCCTGGAGGACAGCTCGGCGGCGCTGACGCCCCCGGCGGGGACGCTGGGCGCGGCGGCGCTGGCACCGCGGTACGCCTGGCTGGTGATCTCGATCGAGCGGATGGCGCGGTCGCCGCGTCTGGTGGGCCCCGATGAGCGGGACGAGCTGTACGGGATGCTGACGGCGAGCGTGCGCGCGCAGCTCCGGGCGCGGCTGCGCGGCGCGGTGCCCGCGGCGGACCCGGTGCTGGCGGGGCAGTGGCGCGCGGCGCTGGCTGGGATCCTGGAGTGGCTGGCGCCGATGGCGCACGCGACGGTGCGGTGGCAGGCGGAGCGCAGCCTGGAGCAGAGGGGCCCGGCGGCGGCACGGGGTGGCACCGGCAGCGTGCTGCTGCTGCAGACGCTGCAGTTCGCGGAGCGCGACAGGGTGGACGCGGCGGTGGTGGAGCTCCTGGTGGGGCTCAACTACGTGTGGCGGTTCGAGAAGGAGATGATGAGCTGCCGCACTCTGTTCGCCGTCCACCACCGGCAGCAGCTCCCGGCGGCGATGATGGAGCTGGCTAGCTAGCTGCTTTGTTTGTTTAGTTTTTGCATCCATCATGATGCATCCATAAATTTTGGTGCATAAGACGTATGTAGTACGAAAATGATCCATCATCTCAAATCTCCGATGTTGCATTGTACGTACTAGTATTGTCGTTGCTTGCTTTGCAAATTGCAATTGCAATTGCACAGGGACAGCCGGACAGTGCATGGGTGTGGTGTGGCAGCCGAAAGCAATTTGCACTCTGCATTGTGGTCGTAGAGCTCTTTCTTCAGTTTCTCTGCTGAATTGAAAGTAGCCCTGCACCACCACCACCATCATGATGATAGATTGCTAGTTTGACTTGCTTGTACCATCTTCTATACGCAAGCTGCAGGTGGTGGTGAGTGGTGGTGAATGATGCAGGCACACTGCATCCGCACTCGCCAAAACAACTATACATGCTAGGGACATTAAGAGTGTCGTTTCTGACCAAAACAACTATACATGCCAGGGACATTAAGAGTGTCGTTTTTGACTTTTAGACTTTTTGTTTGACCGTTTGTCTTATTAAAAAAAATCTAAAAAAAAAAGACACTTTCAATAGAACCGAGGGAGTAGAAAGCACGAAGCACTACGGTGGTGTATGAAAAATGAGATGCATGCATCATATCTGTCCACTCCATAGGAGGCACCTATCTGCACCGGCTGTAAACTGTTGCTCATGCGCTCAACCATTCATTCTTCACCCTTTTAGCTTACTGTATTCTGCAATCTCACCGGCTTGCAACTCAGCAACTGGCTGCTAAAATAGTAATTTAATCCATCTGTCTGTGCTGTGCAAATATATGTATATATGTGTGAATAAAAAAGAATTGGCGAGTGATGGATCTGTTGAGGAATAAGCTAAGGCAGTAGCTTAGCTAGGGACACATGGGAGGGAGGCTCGGTTAGTTGACTCAATCATCATCATCTCAACGATTCCATCATCACATGCATTCCATCAGATGATGCATGCGGCCCTCAGATCCGATCCTCCTGCGAATGCCTGCCTGCTTTGCTCAGCAGCTACCTCTGCAATGCATGCATAATTTCGATGCAATATAATTCCTGGCCGTGTTCACACAGATTAATTGAGAGCGATCAATAGTCTTATTGTTCATTCATTCTTGAGTACCAGCCAAACCTGCAGCTAGCTGGCTCTTTCAACAACTACATGCATGCCATTCATCATCTCAATCATCTCATCGGAATTCCCAACTTAATTGTTTCCATCAGAATCTTTCTATTATACTACATACTATCAAACTGCACTGCAGGTAATCCCATCTCTCTCTATCTCCCCTCTCTGAAACTCTGAATATTCTGAATGTGTGTGTGTTATGACGGGCATCTCCTACAGCAGGCAAAGGCTCTCTAGTGGCTGAATTGCCGTACACAGTGGAGGGCTCATGGCCAGACGCGTCCAGGAGTCTATCTATTATTAGTAAAATTATTATTATTATTAGGGTGTTATTTATATTTTTAGATAAAGGGATATAAATAGCTTGTAAGACTTTGACGGGAGATTAAGCAGAAACAATTATTGTTTCCGGCTTCCTCGGAGCCGGAAGAAACCCTAGCCGCCTTCTTCCTTCTTCCTTCCGTGAACAGTACCGCGGTACTGTAGCGACGGTGCTGTAGCGCCGCCACCCTCGGCCTTCTCGCACCTGCGCAGCCACGGCGCCTCCGCGCCGTCTTCCTCGCTCGCTCAAGCCTCGACTTCCCTCTGTTGGAATGTAATATGGCAAGTGGGCCTGTCCACCATGCCTATATATATATGTACACTGACTCATCACAATAATCAAGCAGAATTTCCCAAATCATTCTCTATCGCTGTCCACTCCGTCGCGCTACAGTGGTTTATTGTGATAATGTCAGTGCCGTTTATCTCTCCACCAACCCGGTTCAGCATCAGCGAACCAAGCATATTGAGATTGATCTACACTTCGTCAGGGAGCGAGTCGCCCTCGATGAAGTTCGCGTTCTGCACGTTCCCACTACGTCCCAGTACGCCGACATCTTCACGAAAGGTTTGCCGACGTCCGTCTTCACAGAGTTTAGGTCCAGTCTTAATGTTCGCGGTGCTCCCAGTTCAGACTGTGGGGGAGTGTTGGAATGTAATATGGCAAGTGGGCCTGTCCACCATGCCTTTATATATATGTACACTGACTCATCACAATAATCAAGCAGAATTCCCCAAATCATTCTCTATCACCCTCCTCCCACTCATACAACCTGAAATCAATCCCCGGTAGGACTAGGGTTCCTATCACCTTGGTATCAGGGAATTCCAGGACGATGTCCACGACTCCGCAGCCCACCGGCGCCCTCATCCCGCAGGTTCCCACCGTTCCGCTGCCGGCCGCATCCTCCGAAATCTCGCAGTCATCCGGCACCGCCCTCACCCTGGAGGGTTTGGCCGGTGTGGTCGACCAATTCGGCAGCAACATGGATCAGATCAGCCGCAACGTGGACGTCCTCAGCCGCAACATGGCCGCCATGCAGCAATCTTTGGCGAGCCTTCTTCCCCCCCCTCCGCCCACCTCGCAGCCGCCACCACCACCGCCCGCGCCTACTACGTCCTCCGGTCGTTTCTTAGAAGGTTTGTGCTGGTGTTTTTTCATGATATTCTGATCTACAGCTCCTCTTGGGCGGAGCACCTACAGCACATCGGCCTCGTCCTCACCGCCCTCCGCGCCCACCGCCTCCACCTCAAGCGTTCCAAGTGTTCGTTTGGGGCCTCTTCGGTGGCCTACCTCGGGCACGTCATCTCCGCGACGGGCGTCGCCATGGACGCCGACAAGATCGCGGCGGTGGCTGCGTGGCCAGCTCCACGTTCTGCTCGGGCCTTGCGAGGCTTCCTCGGGCTTGCCAGCTACTACCGGAAGTTCATCCAGGACTTCGGTGTCATCGCAGCCCCACTAACGCGCCTCTTGCGCCGAGACGCGTTCGAGTGGGACGACGACGCCGAGGCGGCCTTCCAGGCGCTCAAGGGCGCGCTTACCATGGGCCCCGTGCTCCAGATGCCCGATTTCGACAAGGTCTTCATCGTCGACAGCGACGCGTCCGACGCGGGGTTCGGCGCCGTCCTTCATCAGGGCGCGGGACCCCTCGCTTTCTTCAGCAGGCCGTTCGCCGCTCGCCATCTCAAGCTTGCCGCCTACGAGCGTGAGCTCATCGGGTTGGTGCAAGCTGTGCGGCATTGGAGACCCTACCTTTGGGGCCGCCACTTCGTGGTGCGCACGGACCACTACAGCCTCAAGTACTTATTGGACCAGCGCCTTTCTACGGTACCTCAGCACCAGTGGGTCAGCAAGCTTTTCGGTTTCGACTTCGCTGTTGAGTTCCGCCCGGGTCGCTTCAACACTGTGGCGGACGCCTTGTCCCGCTGCGACGCCGACATGGCCCCAGAGGCCTCCTGCACGGCTGCAGCAGTGGCTGCACTCTCCGGGCCGACCTTCGTCTACTTCGACCATGTACGCCGCGCCTCGGCTACAGCTCCGGATGTCGTCCAGCTGCGTGCCCGCTTGCGCGCGGGCGACTGGCCGCCCCGTGGCGCGAGGACGGTGACCTCCTACTGCACGGCTCCCACGTGTTCATCCCCGACATCGCTGACCTCCGGCACCAGGCTATTCAGCTCGCGCATGGTGCTGGCCACGAGGGGATCCAGAAGACTCTTCACCGTCTCCGCGCTGATTTTTTTATCCCCGGTGATCGTTCCTTGGTGCAGGACTGGGTGCGCACATGTGTGACGTGCCAGCGCAACAAAGACGGAGGCCCTTCAGCCGGCCGGCCTCCTGCAGCCCCTTGAGGTGCCGTCTCAGGTGTGGGCAGACATTTCTATGGATTTCATCGAGGGGCTGCCCAAGGTTGGCGGCAAGTCGGTCATCCTCACCGTCGTCGACCGCTTCTCCAAGTACGCGCATTTTATTGCGCTCGGCCACCCCTACACTGCGGCGTCGGTCGCTCGCGCCTTCTTTGACGGCGTCGTCCGGTTGCATGGGTTCCCCCGGTCTATCGTCAGTGACAGGGACCCCGTGTTTACCTGCCACGTGTGGCGCGACCTCTTTCAGCGAGCGGGCGTGACTCTACGTATGAGCACAGCCTTCCATCCTCAGACGGACGGCCAGTCGGAGGTGGTTAACAAGGTGATTGCTATGTATCTGTCGCTGTGTTACAGGTGACCGGCCGCGCGCTTGGGTGGACTGGCTCTCTTGGGCGGAGTATTGCTATAATACTTCCTTCCATACCGCCCTTCGCGCGACTCCCTTCGAGGTCGTGTACGGCCGCTCCCCGCCCCCGATCGTCCCCTACAAGCCTGGGACGGCCAATACCGAAACAGCCGACACCCTTCTCCGCAGTCGTGACGAAATGCTCGCGGAGGTCCGTCAGCGGCTCGTCCAAGCACAGAGTTGTCCAAGAAGTACTACGACGCCAACCACAGGGATGTTGAGTTCGAGGTGGGCGCGTGGGTCTGGCTGCGTCTTCTCCACCGCACCACGCAGTCCCTGGACCCGCACGCCAAACGCAAGCTAGGGCCACGATGGGCCGGTCCGTTTCGCGTTCTCGAACGCATCGGTCGCGTCGCCTATCGTCTATAGCTTCCAGAGGGCGCCCGCATCCACGACGTCTTCCATGTTGGTCTTCTGAAGCAGCACCGCGGCGACCCTCCGACTGCACTCGGCGATCTTCCACCGACGCTCGATGGTCGTGTGCTTCCTGCACCCGAGCGTGTGCTTCCTGCACCCGAGCGTGTGCTGCGGGCGCAGCAACGTCGTGGCGCCTGGAAGCTCTTGGTCAAGTGGCATGGCCTCTCCGACGACGACGCCACCTGGGAGACTCTTGACGCCTTCCGCGACGACTTCCCCGACTTCCAGCTCGAGGACGAGCTGTTTTCGCAGGCGGGGAGAGATGTTATGACGGGCATCTCCTACAGCAGGCAAAGGCCCTCTAGTGGCTAAATTGCCGTACACAGTGGAGGGCTCATGGCCAGGCGCGTCCAG